TGTTAGAGTACTTTTTTCTTTATTCCGTCATTGACCGCTTTGGAGGGTCGGATTTAATTAACTCTGCCAGTTTCCAATTTAATTAATAATTAAACCTTCTCATAGACAGTTAACAATTACCTCGTATTATATCCGAGAAGCTTTGTATCCCTTAATTAGCCAGACTACAGTGCTGCCGTTCGGCCCCAGAACAAGGCTAAAAATGGCGAGGAGACTATAAAATATACAAACAGTGGCTCATTATGTCAGTCGGCGGTATTTTAACAATGCCATGTCGTAGGACGAACTGCATTGATATGCCACTGATCGGAGGGACCTGAGAGAGGTCTAATTAGACCTTTATAAAGCCGACCATTCAACATTTTTAATTATCTCTTTGATGGCGGGTGGGATTTTCGCCAAGAACTGCACCAACAAGGCACTGATGATGTGTCACTGGTTGCGTGACACCCAATTAGAATGGATGTTTGATGAACATTACAAGGGCCTTTAAAGTATTTGTAAGCCTTATTGTGTACCTAAGTATTTCTACTATTATCTGTATAATCTTTTCATGGAAGCCGAATAGTTCTATACTCGAGCAGCCGCGAAAGCAAAGCGTAAGCCCCGGGCTATCACACTTGAAATGAATTAGCCAGAATTTGCACATACAAATATTGATCACGCGGCTCCATGAAGAAGAGTTCAGGTCTTATCTGGATCAAGGAAGTTGGATACTACTCAGTGCTTCCTAGCATCAAATGATATGAACACGTTTAATCATTCGCAGCAGCTGAGTGACAAAAAATAAGTATATTTTAATTTTTGGCATATACTCGTATGTTCAGTGTCCCTTACTAGTAAAATGATTAAATGTTCTGCTTGATTCGTCAACTGACTGCATTAGCTGGTTCAATAATGTGTTGAGGATCCACGATTTCGTATACACGCATTGACACGCCTGGCTATCGTGCTGATAAGGTGGTTGATATCTTGTTGGGGTATCTCATTCCAGGCTACTGCAACGTAAGTAAGAACTGCTAAAGTCTGTGGAGGCTGTTGCAACTTCAAGAGCCTGCGACCTATCATGTCCCAGACATGTTCAATTGGAGATAGGTCAGGCGATCATGGTGGCCAAGGTAAACGGTTGATGCGATGTTGATCCATGAAGGATAACGATGCTCTGGCAACACGCGATCTGGCATTGTCTTGCTGAAAAATCGTGTTGTGGATGGTGTTTAGGTAGCGTCGGGCTGTCATATTGCCTTTGATTTAAATTAGTGGTGATCTGCTACCATAAGCAATAGCATCTCATACCATAACTCCCACGGTGTGGTGAACGTGACGCTCTCTGTCAAATTTTGGGTCACGACTTTCACCACGTCGCCTTCTCACTCTTGCCCGACCATCTTCAGACAGAAGCGGGATACGTCACTAAAGATCACCTGATTATATTCCCGGTCCCCCCCCCCATAGAATTCTCTCTCTACACCAGAGCAAACGGTTACGCCGATGTTCAGCTGAGAGGTAGCACCCAATGTGGGCGATAAGAAAAAAGGCCAAACTATCGTATTCGGCGATATACCGTACGCGTACCAACCATCCTTCCATGCTCTTCACACCACTAACACTGCGTTACATGATTTTGGTACCTGCTTAACTGATAGCTGGAATGAATAGGTAACAAGTCATCGATAAAAAGTCCCAAGCATATGTGGTATCTATCACGTCTAGTTCTCGAAGTACACGTCGATAATTATTTCAACTAACCTCACTTTGCCCGTTAAAAAGTAGTTATCGATGTTACTGTGCTGTTTTGTTTACAAAAAATGCACCAAATAAATTTTTGTTACGTTTGTGGGCAGTGTATGGTGAAATCACAAAGAAAAATGTTTCTGACAAAGTAAGAAGTGCATATTTACTGTATGTTGGACGCGCCTTTCATCAATATAAACCATGGATTCCACAGTTTTTTGTGTTTCGCGCTACGCTTCTCTAATATCTTGGTTTAATGGAAACAAGACATCAATGGCATTTGCCGTACCAGCTGTATGGCATGAACCTAGTAATCATTTTAATGATTGCTATTTTTGCATGACTGACATACGTGGTTTTTCAAAGAAAATCAAGCATAACATTCAGTATCCTTCCGTTCTTTCTATGTCGAAGTCAGTACCTCACAGTGAAGCAATGCCTCCTCCTTTACCTCATAGCAAAAATGAGCCTGAGGTTGCAGAAGGACCAGATTTGCCAAATGCTATAGACTATGATGACAACAGCAGCGACGATCCTGAGTTTGTACCATCTACAAGTTCTCTTGCCCGTCCACATTTGATTAAACAAAATGAACTGAATAATTTGATACGAGACTTAGATTTATCAATTAGACAAGCTGAATTACTAGGATTTGGATTACAAGAGCGGAACTTATTGGCTTCTAACACAAAAGTAAGTAAGAAATGGCTTCATTTTACTGAAATTTTGAAAACATTTGTTACTGTAACGACATAGAAGACGAGTGAGTTGAACATTCCTTATGTAACAAGACTGGCGTTTATTTATTGATGGTTCTAAAATAAGTCTGAAGGCGGTATTGTTACACAATGCAACGTATCCATCAGTACCAATAGCATATTCAACTGTTTGAAAGGAAACATATCAAACTATGAAGTCATTACTAGATTTAATAAAATACAAAGAGTTTACCTGGAAAGTATGTGCTGATCTCAAAGTTATAGCCATTTTACTCGGACTACAGGGTGGATTTACTAAATACTGTTGTTTTCTTTATATGTGGGACAGCAGAGCCACTGAAAAGCACTACACTAGTATGGCCTGAAAGGTCAGAGTTTGTTTGCGGAAAATATAATGTGAAATATGTACCATTAATAGATCCCAAAAATGTCATTTTACCACCACTTCACATAAAACTTGGCTTGATGAAGAATTTTGTCAAGACTATAAATAAGGAGGGAGATGGTTTTTTATATTTAAAAACAATATTTCCAAAGTTAAGTGACGCCAAACTCAAGGAACGGATATTCGCACACTGATGAAAAACACAAATTTCGACAAAAAGCTTGCTGACAAAGGAACTAGATGTCCGGTTATCACTGTAAGCAGTTGTTAAAGGGTTTTTAGGGAACCACAGAGCCGAAAATGCGGAACAGCTTGTTAACGCCATGTTAAATTCATATGAAAAGTTGGGTTGTAGAATGTCATTGAAGATTCACTCCCTCCCTTCCCACTTTTCTTTTTTTCCATCTAATCTTGGTGCTGTCTGTGATGAGCACGGTGAGAGGTTCCACCAGGATGTAAAGAAGCTTGAATAGCGTTTTCGGGGCCGTTGGCACACAACTATGCTAGGCAGCTAGGCGATTGCTGTTGGCGTTCAAAACGAGAAGATTCTACAAAGCACAAACGAAAAAGCTAGAATTTAGAAACATTCTGGATTTACATTGTATGAATTTATTTCTATTGTATTTTTTATACATATATGATGAAAATAAAAGTGTCAAATATGAAAAATTGGCCAATTTTATTATATTTTTTTTAAATATCTTGCAATTTTCAGTATAATTTGACACACACTTAGGGAAGAAAAATGAAATGAAATGGAAAGAAAATATGTATACCTACACTCTTAGTAAACGGTAGCAACAAATAAGAAAGCATGACAATTCAAAGAAGGTACTTAATTTTTGTTTTCACTTATAACGCAGTGTAATCAATTATCGATGGCTCGACTACTACTGAATCTGTCTCTCAGAGCCAGAAGTCTTAGTGTGCGAGCCTAGCGCGGTAGCGACGACGGGCGCGAAATGTCAAACATGATGAAACGCGCCTTTCCATCCATAGTGTAGTGACTGAGGCGGAAGCCTAGGGCGGCGGGACCTAGCGAGACAGCGCGCGTAGTTTTCAAACGTTCCTGTTCCGCGCTTTCTGGCCACACTACGTGCCTAATCGGCAAGCGACCAAACGCGCGGTGGCGGCGGCGGCGGTAGCAAACCAGTCCGGTATGCATAAGCATTATTGTATTGCAATGACGGATACTGAATTGTTTATAAGTGCAATTCAATCGAAACCACGTATTTGGCAAAATAAACATCCACAGCACAGATATTTTACTTAGAATGTAGTCAAACGGGCATCCGAGTGTACTCAATAAATTTGGTAGGGTATAATCGCAGTTCTTCATATATCTGAAAACATTCAACAGTTGTTTCTCTGTTTTTATTTATTTCGTACACACCATCTCGAATGTTCAACACCTCCCATCTCAGGATCTGACTGTCTAGTAAACATATCAAATCGTGTCTATAGTTTAAGACTTATAGACAGTATAGTATAACTGGTGAGAGCAATTGGGCAAAATTATTATTTTTAACATGGTGGCATTTCTGGTTGGACAGGAAGTAAATACCAGCGTTCTTATTTCAAACAGTATACCGTATATAATATTCAATTTTAGGATACTCTAAATGCATTTCATCTAATTGAGTTAAATTGTTTTGATCCTTTGTTATCCAAATCCGGAATAACATCTACTGATGTCGGTCCCCTACTATAAAATACCTGTTACAAATCATATTACAAAGGAAAAAACACGAGAAAGAATGCTCAGCACAAACTAGATCCTCTGAAAAAAAGTTAGTTAAAAAGGTCCATACAGTAGTCCATAGATGTCCTCCCCCTGTCCCACCTCTGGTGCATCTGGAAAGCTGTTATCTCGATAGGGTCTAACTTGTACTGAACATAACCCTTTATTAACTGATGTATGTAATGGGAAACCGTAAATAAAGGAATAACCCAAGATGTTAGAATTTTATTGACACCTACATAAGACCGTTTTTCACTTTAGTTGTTTCACGAAAACAATTTTGTTTTTCTAAGCTATGAAGTTGACCTTGAAAAGAACGCAGATACGTCCTTGCACCTCAAAAACATTGGAATTTTATATTTAATTTCAACATTTTGTTTATTTAGCAACCAAATTAAATTTTGTTTTCTTTCTCTTTCAGTTAATCGGTGGTAGCCAAACGAAAAGACCGACGTGCAATACGGTTCTGTGCCGTCGCTCAACCCATTCATCATATCAGTTGCGTTGTTGCCCAAGGAAAAGTGACAACTTCGGAAACCTCCTGACCATCTGAGTATTTTTTGTGAGGGTTCTAAGACAGTCTGTACTTGCCATGTATATAGTTCTCGATGGATCTACGTTTTCCGTCTTATGGCTATTAAGTGGTTAGGGATAAGAAAAGGTAATGACAGAAAAGCAACAACTTGAGTGTGATGTCGGATTTTCACTGGCCACTATCGTGACGCAATTCGACGTACGGCAACTACTAATGCATGACGTCCTTACAGTGCCTAACTGAGTAAGTAATCTTGTCTTTGTATCCATGGAAAAACTAAACTAAAAGCCTGCCTTCGACTTTAGGTCTTTCTTGTTATTGTTGTACAAACTTCCAAATGCAATGAGGAGCTGACGAAAGGGATTAAAACCAGGTCAAGTACAAGTTGCGACGTAGTGTACCTTAGTGAGGTGAGATAAGCAGTAATAGCAGAGCCCAATTATGATTTGAGAATGTTCATTTTCCTCGGAAAGTAGTATTATAGATCCAAAATACCATCGTTTCATAGATGCCAGTACATTTTTATTTCCTTCTCTACTTAAAACATTAGGTTCTTCAACAACTTGAATTTCGGCTGAAGAAACGACGTTCTCTGTTCCATCTTCCCACTTAACGAGAACATCTATAATGGTTTATTTGTCAAATGGATATAATCTGAAAAAAAGAGATGACTATATTCAAATGTAATCTCTGTTGGAGCATTTATTGGAATAAAACCTGATACCTATTCAAGAACATCTCATACCTACCATTAAATTAATATATTGAAATAGTCGAGTTTCGTAGCACAAAAAAATCATTAAAATTTTTTCATAAATACCTTAAAAAATAAATGATAAGCTTAGATCACTATATAAAGTATTCCTACTACTTAACAAATTGACACACCACTGTTGCGCTTACCGGACGGCCACCGGGGGTTTTTAGGTTAGAATTTTTTCCAACACTGTCTTATTAAATATACTGTGTCATGCACTGGCACTGTGTCAGCACGAAATCACTATCGTATATTCCAATAAATGTGTGTAGAGTCAGTACAAATTTTGATACGTGTGAGGTATAAATACATATACGTCAACTATGCGGGAACTGACAAGTCTGTCTGACAGGTTTTGTCATTCAGTCCAGTAGCGTATATGTTGCTTTCTGAACTTTTTTATTGGCGTCACTAGCACGTTGTACATCTGCACTATTTTTCATCAAGTAGTGTTTTCATTAACATTGATTTAAAGTCTTTTAGTGGGGATAAACAATATTCACAATGACATGATACTAAGTAAATAAGCACTAGAGTATTTTCAAAAAACGAAAAGGCGTAAGTCTATATACGCCAGTTTGTCTTTTTAAAACTTGTAACAACAGGAGGTCCAACCACATACTGATTTGCCATATCATGTTAAATATAAGAAGGAGAGATACGTCACTTTGTCATACAATAGATATCCATTTTTAGATATTTTTGGTGGTGGTAACTCGAAATGGGCATTTTCCGACTTACGCCCCTTTGTCTTTCTAGCGACGATGTGTTCGTGCCAAATCAAATCCCCAGTGATCTGGACTCCGACCAGCCGAAATGAACAGCTCTTTGGTAAAACTTGGCCATCCATCGAAACCGGATGATACTACAGCAAATTTAAATACTACCGTGAATGAAATTTTAAATTAAAAATCAAATCAAATCGACTCTGCTATTTCTGTGGCACCTCACGTCACGTGAGTCCCCTGCATCTCAACTTTATCTCATCCATTATGTTGCAATAGGTTGGTTTGTAACGCTCTAGTTGAATTGTGAACTCTAGTAATATTACTCCAGGGGGTATATAAAAAACGTGTTTTCTTCTAATCCTTATTTATATTTATGTTTTTCTCGCTGAAAAGACTGAATTTGGATACGTAGACTACACTTTACTAAGAAATGGGCCTAGAACTGTAGTCAGTTGTTGAAAATTTTCCTCGTCACTGCATTAATAACAAATCTTCACCAAAGGCCATTTTCGTTTTGTAGGAATGGCCATATCAAACGCTGGTTTTAAGGTCACATTCATCATCCACAGTTGAACATCTGCAAATATACTGAGTGACAAAAAGGTAAACACCTTCCGATTTTAATAATTTTTGGCATATATGTTCAGTGTCACTACTATAGTAAAGTACCAAAATTGATGACAGTAGCGAAAGTCATCGTACGCCACTGCTATTACGCGGAGGCCTTCTAAAATGCGGCGCTTCTTTATGAAATGTCGGTAAACGTCGCTGTAATCAAAGGGTACAGCGTCAAAGCAGTGGCGCACAATGACTTCTGCTACTGTCATCAATTCTGGTATTTCACTATAGTAAAATGATTAAATTTTCAACTTGATTCGTCAACTGACTGCAGAAGCTGGTTCAATTATGTGTTTAAGATCCACGATTTCTTATACATTCATTGACACGCTTGGGCATCGTGCTGATAAGGTGGTCGATATCCTGTTGGGGTATCTCATTCCAGGCTACTGCATTTTGGTAAATAAGAGCTGCTAAAGTCTGTTGAAGGTGTTCAAGAGCCTGCGACCTATATGTTCAACTGGAGATAGGTCAGGAGATTGTGGTGGTCAAGGTAAACGGTTGATGCTATGTTGATCCATGAAGGCTAACGATGCTCTGGCAACATTCGGTCTGACATTGTCTTGCTAATTTTGGATAGTGTTTAGGTATGCAATAAAATGAGGCTCCACTACTTCTTGAATATAGCGTCGAGCAGCCATATTGCCTCTGATGAAAATTAGTGGTGATCTGCTACCATAAGCAATAGCACCCCATACCATAACTCCCACGGTGTGGTGAACGTGACGCTCTCTGCCAAATTATGGGTCACGTCTTTCACCATGTCGCCTTCTCACTCTTGCCCGACCATCGTGCATCCTCAGACAGAAGCGGGATTAATTAATAACTAAAGACCACCTGATTCCATTCTCGGTCCCATAGAATTCTTTCTCTGTACCAGAGCAAACGTTTATGCCGATGTTCAGCTGTGAGAGGTAGCACCTAATGTGAGCGATAAGAAAAAAAGCCAACCTGTCGTATTCGGCGATATACCGTACGCATACCAACCATCCTTCCATGCTCTTCAAACCACTGATTAGCGATGGCTCGAGTACTACTGAGTCTGTCTCTCAGAGCCTGAAGTCTTAACCAGCGGTCTTGTCGCTCCCTGGTCCTTGGGACGTCCAGAACCCCTCGCTTGCTGCCCTCGGACTTCCTGTGCCCACGCTTGTTTACCCTGCAGTTTGAATGAATGAATCTTAAAATTAGAGGCATCCCGGCCGCCATAAGGAGCCAGTGCATAGGCCACTTAAGCGGGCCCTTAAGGTCCAAAGTAATGGACCCCAGTATAGTCTGCCTATAGTAGCTCGGAGCTTCACAGCGACACAAAACGTGCGCCGAGGGGTCTCTTCCTCTACTCCGCAGCGTTCGCACAAGGGATCCTCAGCCACCCCCATCACGTGCAGGTGACGCCTTAACGTGTTAAGGCCAGACACCAGTCCCACCAGCAACCTTAGGTTGGCCCTATCCAGAGATAGGCAGAAGCGTCCATCCTTAGCACTGGGCCCTTCAATGAGCTCTCGTGCCTGGCGGAGATGTCTAGAGATACTTCTCCATTTCCGAGAGTGTTGTCTTGCAACCCACGTCTTCATTTTCCTCCTAGCTTTTTGCGCGGTCACTCCTAGAGCTGGCTCAGGACCAACGAGCTTGCTGGCTGACCCTGTTTTCGTCAGAGTGTCCGCCGTCTCATTGCCCCTTATCCCAGCGAGCCCCGGTACCCATATTAACGATACCGGATGCCTCGCTGCGAGGCAATCCAGAGCCTCCCTGCATTGCAATACAAGACTCGAAGTAATCTTACAGGCACTTAGTGCTTTCATTGCAGCCTGGCTGTCGGATAAGATTGTCATTCTTCTCCTAGGCCCACCCTCCTCGAGAATGTGAGATACACAAGCCAGAATCGCAAAGATTTCCGCCTGGAAAATGGTGGTGTATCCACCGAGAGGCAGAGATAGCCTAGTTCTCGGCCCAGAGACCCCAGCACCTGAGCCCTCTTCGGTGACCGAGCCGTCCGTGTACCAGACCTGCCCGCTCACTTCGGAGAGTCCCCGGCTACCGGCGTCCCACTCCTCCCTCGTTGGATACTCCACAATAAACTTGCGGTTGAAGCGATATTTAGGGGTAATACGATCACCCCTGCTTAGAAGGACGGGGTCCTCCCTTTCTAGTTCAACTAAGATGGCAGTATGCCCCTTGACAGGATTCAAGAAAGCCCAGCTGCCCTGACTCCACAGTCGATGAGCGACTACTCTCGCTTCACCGCGGATCACCAGATCCAACGGTGGGAGATCCAACAGGGCTTCCATTGCACTCAATGGCGTTGTTCGCACTGCGCTTGTAATGCTAATACAGGCCAAACGCTGAGTTTGGCCTTAGCTGTCTTAGTTCTCATGCAAGGCCACCAGACCAGGGAGCCGTACAAGAGAGATGGACGTACTATCGTCGTGTAGAGCCAGTATACCACTTTGGGTTTAAGCCCCCACCTTACACCGACAACACGTCTACAAACCCACATCGAATTGCGAGCCTTGCTAACCTTGTATTCCACATGCTCTCTCCAGTTCAGTTTGCAATCCAGGATAATTCCCAGATATTTCACTGACTGGTACAAAACTAATCTAGTCCCAAAGAAGGTCGGCATGACCAGCCCGTCAAGGCTTCTTCTCCTAGTGAATAGGATCAGCTCGGTCTTTTCAGCATTAACAGAAAGATCGACTTCCCTACACCACGATTCCACGGAGCGCAGAACGCCCTGCGTAATTTCCGAGACTGTTCTACAGAAACGCCCCCTAACTACTATGCTTACGTCATCAGCATAGGCTTGCGCGTAGACACCCATACTGCTGAGCCTAACGAGGAGTTCGTTCACCACGATACACCACAGTAGGGGTGACAGAACTCCGCCCTGAGGGCAGCCTCTAGCTACATTCACGCTGCAGCTTACGTTATTCAGCATAGCTGCAGTTTACTGTTGGTTCTTCTAGAAACTACTCTTATCGATAGACCGGCCTCACGCATCCCGATTTTGAGCAATCACAACATACTGTATAATTATGAAAAATTGTTCTAAAACGATTGCTCAATTGCTTATCCTGCCACCTAATAGCCATATTGAGACGGACATTTTTTCTCAGTGATTGCTCTTCTCAAACTAATAATTATGTGAGTTGTATATTATAGTGAGAGTGTTCGATCGCGACGACTTTTATTTAGTATGTTGTTGTTATTTTTGTAAATAATAAAGTACTTGTTAATATTATGATCGAAACTGTTTGTATTATTACCATTACCAAGCGTATCCTTCCTAAAATAGAAGTCAAGCGGAAAACACGGTGGATGCAGATTTTCTGCGTATACGTAACCTTCACTGACTTATTTGAGTCTATTTCAGAAGCCTTGTTTTGGTTCTACAGAGAACTATCCTAAAACCGCTCTGATCATGATCCAAAGAATCTTATGACTGCAGAACCACTTTGTGATTGGTTACTATCAGAATGTTTCCTTGTAAATCAACCCCTTCGATGGGTCCGAAGAAGATGAGATCTATGTGATCATATAGCTACCAGCAAAAGTTTCCATTTTTAACCTGTAGCTAAAAATGGAAAGGTAAAAATGCAAAAAATAATTATCAGCCATTTTTGGGCTGTACAGGGACTTTCCTAGCTCGGTGGAAAATGCGAAATACTGCATTTTCTCACGTTCGACGGGTCCAACAAAGATGAGATCTACGTGGCTTTATAGCGACTAACGAAAGGATCACTTTTACCCGTTTTTAGAATGTGGCAACTTTTCTGGTTAGGGAAAAAATGCAACACAATTTTATCACGTAAGGAGTGAAATCAACAACTTCGACGAGTCCGAAGAAGATGAGACCAATATGGCCTTATGGTTACTAATAAAAGGAACACTTTTATCCATTTTTAGAATGTTGTAACTTTTCTGGCTAGGAAATAAATGCAAAAAAACAATTCTCTCACGTAAGGGGTGAAATCAACCACTTCGACGGGTCCAAAAAAGGTAGGACCAACATGGCCTTGTAGCTACTACAGAAAGGAACACATTTCACCCATAAATAAACTGAAGTATCATTGGATAAGGAAAAATGCAAAAAACAGTGCAGGGGTGAAATCAACCGCTTCGACGGGTCTGAAGAAGATGAAATCTATGAGCTACCAACAAAAGAAACACTTTCTTTCCATTTTTAACCTGTACCTAAAAATGGAAAGGAAAAAATGCAAAAAACTGCATTTTGTCACATTCAAAGGGTAAAATCAACTTCTTCGACGGGTCTCAAGAAGATGGACCTGCGTGGCGTATATCTTCTAACGAAGGCAACACTTTCCACCCATTTTTGGGCTGTAGGAGAAGGGTCATCAGGAGCAAAATGAAACCTTCCACAAAGACACGTATAGTGAAATTTCCCAAAGGTATTATGGTGTGGGGCTGTATGTCTGCAGTTGGAATGGGACGTCTTCATTTTGTAGATGGCACAGTAAGTGCGGCTAAATACCAAGACATCCTTGAGAACACATTATTGCCTGCCATAGCAGACTTATATCCTGACGGAGATTGCATTTATCAGCAGGACGGCGCATCATGCCACACTGCCAAAAAAAATCACAAAACAATAGTTTGTGGATCATGAAGTACATGTCCTCTCTTGGCCCGCCAGTAGACCCGATTTAAATGTGGTTGAAACGGTCTCGCACAAAATGAAACAACATTTGAGAAACCATCCTCAGATAACAATCCCTGAACTGCGTGTGAAATTGCAAGAAATTTGGAATTCGTTTACACAAGAAAACTGTCAAGCATTAGTTAAGACCATTCCTGCAAGAACTCAGGCGGTAATTAAAGCAAAAGGCGATGTAACAAGTTATTAGTTACATTTTGTAGTGTCCGAATATTTAGTTGCCACATATTTTTCAGAAGTTTAGTTTTTTTTTTGTTAATTTAAATTACTTATTAAGAAAAACAAGTATTATCGAAAATAGGTCACATTTTGTATACCTAAACTATCAATAAAAGTTTTCGGTACAAGTTTACTATCTTGTTCTGTTATTTTATAAAACAATTTGCAATATAAAATTGTCCGAATATTTAGTTGTTTGGGCTGGTATATGGCCCTATAGCTATTAATAAAAGGAACACTTTATTCACTTTTAGACTGTTGCAACTTTTCTGGCTAGGGAATAAATGAAAAAAACAATTTTCTCACGTAAGGGGTGAAATCAACGACTTCGACGGGTCCAACATGGCCTTGTAGCTACTAAAGAATGGAACACTTTTCCTATAAATGAACTGAAGTAACATTGGATAAGGAAAAATACAAAAAACTATTTTCTCACGTAAGCGGTGAAATCAGCCACTTCGACAGGTCCGAAGAAGATCAGAGCTACATGGCCTTGAATCTCTCTACTAATGAAATGAACATTTATCACCTGTTTTTAGACGTTAGATTATTTTCTTTCTAGTTGAAAAATTCGGAAAACTGATTTCAAATATTATTTGGACTACGGGTGAACCCACCCCTATGCTGTGGTATGTTGCTAATATCAGTTAGAAATACAATGCAATCATCAAAAAGTCCGTAGTTGCTATAGAAAGAATGGCTCTCTGAAAGTGGCTGCTACCTTCACACCGGATAAACAATTTACTAAACTTTGAAAAACAAGTTCATAGTTGATTGCCAGGTCAGTCAACCTGAAACTTTACCTACGATTGAAAAACTGAGTCTGCTGTTGATCTATCGGCGCTGGTTGCTGACAAGCTGGAAATCTACTCATATTGTTTTTGTAACCAAATGCTGCCGTTGCAGCTAAAACAACAGTGAAGTCTTTATTCGTTTAATAGTTTGGGTGGGGTTTCATTTAATGGTCTAGCCGTACCCCATTGTAGAGATTTTCTCTTTACTCTGACCTAAGGACATCCCTAAAAGCAGCTCGACCCTTAAGGTTAATACAATGAAAAATGCTTATGTTTTTGTTCATTATGGTGTTGTACAGTACTAGAGAAGCAACTCGAAATTTGAACAAAAAAAAACAGAAGTTGTATATTCTCGTTAGCTAAATGCTCCCATTTGATGCATTTTTATAAAATGTGGAATTTGCATCGTTGGGTTGAAGCAAGTTTGTGCCTGTCAAATGCCTGAGATGAGGGCACTATCACGAGATCATAAAATATAAAAAATTATCACATGTTCAACTGAATTTTACAGTCGATACCTATCTTAGAGTGTAAAAATACGAAAAAGCTTCAAGATTTAGAGAATACATAGATGTAATAGTATTTACCTAACAAGTGCGGAAAGTGACACGACGCGAAGCGGAGTTCGGGCGAGCCGTCAAGGGCGGAAAATACACTTTCCGCAAGTGTTAGGTATAAGATTTTTTCTCACATTGTGCAGCAAGTACTCACTTTCAACGCGCATCTGCGTGCAGAAAGTTATACGTGCTGTAAAGCGCTACTTTCTGCACGCAGGTGCGTGTTTTAAGTAAGTACTTACCGCACGCACATGCGTATTGAAAGTGAAAGAACTGAAAAAAAAATATTTTCACAATCCATTCTATTTGTCAAATGCAGTCATGATCGTAAGCATCCGCATCCGTTAATAGAAAGTGTTTTGTCTATATTGGCCGTCTTCTCTGACGTCCTAACTATGATTGCGATTTTGATAACCCAAACTGAAAATTCCAACGAAAGTCCGCTATGTTGAATACGCAACAAAGTATTGACTAGTCACGAGGCACAATCATTCAAGAATACATGACTGCCACGTATGACTCTCTTTTCGATCGGTCAATTTGGCTAAAATACAGGGTGGCCAATATATAATTCACTGATTTAAATTGCGCCCCATTTTTGATATACGCATTTTAGTAGGTGGCGCCGTAGTAGTTGCTTAAAGGACATGTGTCCAAATCACCTTGGTGCGCCACGACGATCCCACAACGCGTCCGTATTGTTAAAACGGTTTACTTAAATAGTGTGTCGATTGTTGGAACGATTCGGAAGCTACGACAACATTCCGGTCGAAATAATGTGCCCAATGTCAACATCATTCGTCAGTTTGTACGGAAATTTGAACAAAGAGGTGAAGTTAACTTGCCAAGGTCGGGCCGTGTTCGAACTGTCCGTACTGCAGAAAGTATCGAGAGAGTGGAGCGCCCTGAGACGTCTACCAGACATCGTTCTCAAGAAGTAAGTATTCGTCGCATGTCATTATACACTATTTTAAAAAAAATTGCATTTGCGGTCAAACAAAATTCAGTTAACCCAAGAACACAGCCTAGTGACCATGAAAGTCGCCGACAATAGAGTCATGCAATATGCTTAATACCCAAAATAACGATTTTTACTGACAACTGATAATGAGCGATGAAGCCCACTTCGATATGAACGGATTTGTTAATAAGCAGAATTGTCGTATCTGGGCATTAGAGAACCCTTGTGTCATCCATCAACGACCACTACATCTTCGTCGAGTCACAGTTTGGTGCGGTGCTTGGTATGGACCTTACTTCTTTGAAGACGCTGCAGGTTATTCTCTTACTGTCACTGGCGAGCGCTACCGTGATATGGTGCAAAACTTTTTGGCTCCTCAAATCCAACAATTTAACCCTGTGGTTCCAGCAGGACGGAACAGCTTGTCACACAGCTAGGGAAACAATGAATCTTTTGCGAAAAATATTTCCGGGACGCCTAATTTCTCCATTTGGAGATGTCAACTGGCCGCCAAGGTCACCGGATTTAACGGCTCCTGTGTTTTTTTATGGAGATTTCTGACAAATAGGGTTTACGCCATCAAACCAAATACGTTAGAGCAGCTGAATAACAATATTACTGAAGCGATGGAAAATATTCCACCCGGAACCTACCATAAAGTGATGGAAAACGTAATCAAGAGGGCTCAAGTTTGCGCTGCTTCTAGAGGCGGAAATTTTTCTGATATTATTTTTCACACATAATTTCTAAGTTTCAATAAAATATTAAGATGAAAAAAAGAACGTGTTCTATTTCATTTCACAAATATTTAAGATACAAACCAGTCAGTTACATATCGGGCACCCTGTAGTTATTGTAGATTTGAAATCGATAGGTTCCAGTGTGCAGAGTCAAATCCACGGTAGGGTATTAAGTATTTTGAAAGTCTCTGAATTGTCAGTTATTGTTTGTTTTTTCATTTTGACGTGTTTCGCAATCCGAGATTATAATTTAGAACATCGTAGCGCCATTAAAATGAATTGATGGTTTGATAAGTGTTTTGTTTTTCAGTGACTGTACAGTAACCAAAATCAGCGGCGATCTCACAGCGATAAAATTACTCACCGGGTTCAAGGCAATCAGGAATAACTACTTAAAAATTATTACCACACAAACTGTCTGGGTTCATTAAAACCGGTGACTGCCGAAAAATATGTCGAATCATTAATCAAACAAATGAAACTTGTCAGCTGTCAATTAAAATAAGGAAGTTTTGATTCTTAATTGCTTATTAACTTATTATTAGTACAATAACCGAATGGTGTTAATTGCTTGGTGGTTCTGGGAAGGAGCACAGTCGAAACCACGAGAGGGGGAAGAGAATATAAGTATATAAGAGAAAATCTTCTCCCAAACTGTATTAAATCCAGTGTGTGCCGACGAAATGCAAAACCTCTTCCTGTTGCCTATGTTGGCACTAGGAGTAGTATCGTTCATTTTGTATCACAGAATGTCAACTGGTACAAGAGAATACAAAATTGATCTTCAAATGACATAACATACAGCATACTACCACCAGCATTACACAGCTGTTCGTCATAGGTAGTGCAAATGACAACACCGGTTTGATGAAGAGATTCGACCTGTAGTTGGACACCCTCACCCGATTTGTCACATCACACAAATTAGACAGCATTCGAACCGGTAACACCATTGATACTAATCAGGTAACACTAATCCGCTCTCGAATTATATAAAATAATCGTAATCATAGCGATCTGATCGCCATACTTGTCACTTACGTACTAGCTAGTCCCTAACCCACGCCACGCGTATTCGCTGTGAGCGTCACCTCTAGAGGAATGGCACAACTACCTATAGCATAGAACTTGTAGCTTAGACTATAGAAGCTATAAATGGCCTTCGTAAGTGCCATGTCTGAAGCACATGTTACATCACATCAAAGTCACAGCATATAGATCAAGAATGTAGTCGTGAACATAATGACGGCTGGTTCCAAAATGACAATTACGGCGATTAAAACGACATCATCCCTGTTATTTTGGAGTAACATCATGCGGGCGTGATCCTGCCATGTACACTCTATATTATGCCCTCAGCTGTGTAATACTCGAAAACCAAATACAAATTTAAGCATAGAACCAACTTGACAGTAAGCGTGGGATTCTATAAGTAGTTTTCGAATTACATTACCGCATTGTGTGAGATCAGAGACCTTGTTATACAAGTTGGTTCCTACAATTGTAGGACGAATTTATGGTCTCCTTGACTTTCATAGTTTTCTACTGTTCCGTGTCAGCACTCGATTTTGAGGTTACAAACATCTATTTGCATCAAATTATTCATGCTTTTGATTTATATCGTATGTTAGTATATCAGCCTCAAATTTCCTACAATTCAAAAAGAAAACTCACAATAGGAGGGCGAGACAGTAGAATTCTAGAAATTCACCAAAAGACTGTCAAAATCAAGGACGCCAGAAACGCGTCCTACCATTATTGTAGGAGCGACTGACGATACGGCTCTTAGTCTGCAGATTCTCCGCAAGAATTAGAATACTACTTTAAAAAAGTTAGCGTCTCACAGATGGCGCTGTAGGCGTATGCTCATATAATTGGATACAGAGATTGATAAGTTGGTAGGTTGACTATCTTCAGCTTAAATACGTTAATCGGTTAATCAATGCCTGCTCCAAAAGTTTTTGGCCGTTCACCTCCATTATTGGTCATTGATGAAGCCACTATTATGGCAAGAAATTCTCAGGAAGCTCAAACACAAAGGCAAACTTTGGAACTTAAGTCGACTGATCACGTGTTTCAATGTTGTTGTTTACACATTATTAAAGAAATTGTAATTTTCAAGAGTGAAGTATTACATACTATGATCTCCAGATTTCATCTAAATTGGTAAAGGCGCTTCAGAGATTACGCGGTTTGAAGAACTGTGACAGAAAGACCGATGGATATAAGTATGTAATTCCGGTCATGAAACAGGAAAAAACTTGAGATAGGCAGATAGCAAGGAGGTCAAACACAGTCATGCTAAATCGAACAAGCGAAGAGGAAGTCATTTTTTATCTCTGGTTAGATTCGTAGATGATAAATGCGATCAAAGATCAACCCTGAGATCTAACCTAGTCGTAATAGATATTTATTGATTCACATGCATAGGCATAGGATACGCGGTAGCGTAGTGGTAGATCCTGCGATATACTAATCTGGCCACTGTGAGCTGCGCGAGTTCGAATCTCGTCTCAAGAAACATTTTCTCTCGGCTATGGATGCTGTACTTGTCCGTAAGTGGTAGACGGACACAGACCGTCGAATGAGGAGGTACCACCTGACGAATCTCTGACGCGGGGCCGGAATGCGAGCATGCCACATGCACACGTGTTCCCTCGGTGGAGTCCGTGTTAGGCTCCCCTGACCCTGGTATCACCCTATAGCCTCAGGGTTTCCATAGGTATTTAGACCTTAGGCATTCATGGTTATAAAAAAAAACATGGCATAGCATAATAATCGCACTAATCTGACAGGAAGCTTCATATTTTGAGAACAACAATATCAACCGTTGCTTCGTAGGTATAGTAGAGTAGGTAATCTAAGACCACATTTCCCTCTCCTATGACTTAGACGTAGAAAGGAAAAATCCAAGAGAATATCGTCCCTGCCTCTGCGCTCCTTTGTATAAAAGCACATTTATGGAAATTGATTCGACGCGCAATTAGCATTAATTTAAAAGCGGTACCAATTTCCTTAATGCGTTTCAGATTTTCATTTCTCATCAGGTAGAGTAGCGTCGCGCCACGGCGAAGTGTGAGTCTTCTCTCTCACCATTCTCCTATAATATCAAACTTCATACCCCCCATAAAGCAGGAATCGAAACTGCTCTCTCAATTAGGGAATTTGGATTTTACGCCCTCCCTCCCGTTTTATGAGCGGTTTAAATTATGCATGTTTTACCTGCCGCCTCGCATCTCACATTGTGCACATGACGTTGCCATAGGGAAACACTGATTAAATTACCCGAAAGGTGCAGGTATCAAACGGAACTCAAATGGAAATTGCGCATAATTTTGCCCGTAAAATGTTATCTTTTGCTTTCCTTTCATGAGCTAAACAGACAATCTTACATCCACTACTACCACAGCCGACGTCGGCTGTGCTACTACCTACCAACAGATATCACAACTACATTGCTCATCTACGCCTTTCCTCCGTGATACCGCCATGATCTGTTAGGTAAAGAATGGAACGTCTTTGAAATTCTCAGGTCGTCTTCATTGACCTGTATCACCGGATTAAAACAAGAC